CAAAGATGACTGCCATGTGGTCTCTGGCCCAAGAAGCTTACTGTCCAGTGGGAGAAAGTTCATTGAAATCCAAAAGCATGTGTTTGGTTACAGAAAAGCAAATAATGCTCGGGCAGCAGAGAGGCTTGGGGAGGGATTTTTCTGAGGAGGACTTGGAGCATAAGCTGGCGTGTGGTGTGGAAGGGAGGGCACTGGTTTCAGAAGCTGTCTGAAGTTGTAGCGATGGTAGCTGGGAAGGGGGTTCCCGTTACTGACCGTGTGTGTGCTGTCTGCCTCCTTATTTGAGGAATCTGCTCCTCCCACTTCAATCATGGTTCTAATACCTTGTTCCTGACCACCTAGGATGGATTATGTACCAAGATGGACCAACCAGTGTCATGCCCCAGAATCTTTCCATGGGAATTGGAAGGGCTGGAAGGGCAGCTCCTTTGTGCCCTGTCTGACTAGAGCTGTTAGGAGCCCGAGCAGTTGGGACCTGGAAGAGTTGGTTGGGAAGAACAGACTGGTATGCAGGGTACAACAGAGAATGTCTTGATGGGGTCGGAGCCCATGATCAAGGTCTTCCCAGAGCTCTGGTCCATCCCATTTGGTGAGGCAGAGCAGCAAACTGGATTCCAGAGTGCTGCTGGGAGAGACAATGGGGGGAGTTAGACCGAAGAGGCAGCAGGAGCCAGATCCTGAGAGGCCAGGAGGGAAGGCATTGAGGAAAGGGCTTGATGAGGGGAAGCAGGGTAAGATTTGCATCTCTGAAAGATCACTCTGAGTTGACAAGACTTGCTGGGAAGTGGAGGGGCAGGGGGCTGGGGTGGCAGCAGAGGAGCGGTGAGAAGGCTGATCTAACCCCTAGCCCCGACATCATAGGGCACAGAGAGGGCATGGACATGGAAGTCAGACCCTGCAGGCTCTGTAAGGGCTCAACTCTAGATCACGTTGGACCTTGGGCAAATCTTGTGTGTCTGTTTTGTGCTGGAGGTGAAAAGGTAGGGCTGGGGAGAGACATCAGATGTCATATGGTCCTTCAAGCAGCCCTGAGCTGGAGCAGAGATCCAGGTCCTAATTCCCACTCTAGGAGGTCAGAGATAACTCCCTGTCTGCAGAAATGCAGGCCACCCCACCCCCTTCCAACCTCAGTCAGCCTCGTGCAGCACCTCCTGTTCACCTTCCACGAACTGGCCTTGTGGCAGGGGAAGGCAGGCAGGGTGTCTTCCAGGGACCAGGGTGAGGGGAGGGGGGGTGGGCCTGCCTTGCAGAGAGATGCCAGTGTGCCTGATGGGGCCCCAGGCCTTCCCTTACCCCCAGGACAGCCCCAAACCACAGGCCACGTCCTGTTTCTCAGAAATACTGACATTTCCCAGAGCCCAGGGTTCGTGGAGGGACAGGGGGAGGTGGCTTCTTAGCTGCTGAAGGAGAAGGAAGAAGCCTCCCCAGGAAACCCGGAGGGCAGGCTTGACATCATAATAGGAATCTCAGGTTTGGGGGCCAGGAAGCTACCTGGGGAGGGGGAGGCTCTGAGCCCAGGTTGGTTGCACCTGCCCCAGCCCGGGACCTGGCACCTTCAGTGTTCTAGGACCCATCAGGGTACGGAATCACCGACCTTAGCTGGAATCCAACCCCTCCAGTTACCAGTACTTGATCTTGATTGGTCACTTCCTTTCCCTGTGCCTCAGTTTCCTCATTTCTTAATGTGGTGGACAATCCCCATCTCACACATTATCCTAGTGGATCAGACAAGACCAAAGACTTGGATGTGCCTAGTTAGCTAATGGCCAGCCTGTGTGAGGGGATGCCACTACTCCTACTCCAGCCTGTGCTTCCTGGCCACCACGTAGGACTCCCTGCTGGAGTCTTGGGGAGCCCTGTGAGTGGAAGATCAGGGCAGCCTTGGGAGACCACCTCTTCCTTCTCCCTCATCACACTCATGGGGGAGAACAGCAGGCTTACACAGGGAGTTAGCGGCTGAGGAAGAATGGATTTTAACTTGTCCTTAAACTTTCCCTCTTCCATCCATACTCCTGTTCTACTTTCCCTGTCCTGTGAGGTCTCCTCATCACTAGGACTTGCTTACATCTCTGCCATCTAAAAAACCCTCTTCTTCCATCCAAGTCCACCACCAGTCACTATCCTGTTTCTCCCCTCTACTTGACCAACAAAGTTCTTCAAAGACTTATCTGTTTCCTCACCTCCTTGATACCACCTCAGCCCCTGCAAAACTTCTTCCTGCCTCCCCACTCCCCTGACATTGCCCATTGCCACAGGCACCGGAAGCCCCCTGGTCCCTGGGGATGACCCTTCCCAGGCCATGTGTTACGGGACCCTCAGCCGCCACACCCTCCTGGCTTATCTCTTGCCTCCACAGGAAGTCATTTGCTGAGGCTCTGGGTTTGCTGTACAGTCTCTCCCAGGCAGTGTCACACATCTCCTGGCTTCAGTAACCATCTGTAGGCCAACAGCCCCCAAACCCCTACCTCCAGGCCGGCCTTAATGTACCCCCATAATGTACCCCCAAGAGCCAGGGGTATCTCCTGAGACTCAGCGTGTACTCAACTGAAACTTCTGGGTTCTCTCTGTAGTCACCACACAAGACACTACACACTTCCCCTCTCGCTTTCCCTCAGCCCTGTGTGCCGTCCGTCATCTGCGCTGCCTTTCCTCCCGGCCCCATTGCCTCTCTCCTGCCCCAGCCATTGTCACAGGCTACCAGGCCGTTCTTGACCCAGCAGGCAGGGCTAGATCCCTGACCCACAGATCTGACCAAAGCACTGAAACCCTTCCAGGGCTCGAGGCTGCTGTTGGGATGAGGCCAGAGCTTCTCAGCTGGGCATTTAGCCTCACCTCCCTTCGCTCTTTGCCTCGGATTATACCAGCCGGCAACAGTGAGCTATTTGTGATTCCGCCTAGAACATGCTCTGTTTCATCTCCCATGTACCGTCTCTTCCTGTGCCATCTCTGTCCCTCTTTTCTTGTGATCCTTCTCACCCTTCAGATCCTGCTGAAGTTGTCCTCCGTCTGGGCAGGCCCGTGCTCTGCATAGCCCTGCTGTCGCAGCCCCTGGCACTCATGGCGTTGTGATGCCCTTTCTCCCCCTCCAGACTTTGGCTCCTTGAGGACAGGCAGAGCCGTATTGGGTGCTTACACTGTGTTGGTCATCTAGCATAAGGCCTGTCCCAGAGCAGCTGAGAAAGGGTTTTTTGAGTGAATACATGAAAGGGGAAGACGAGTCTAAGAGGTATAAGCCCATGGGAAAGCTGCTGAGAGGTTCCCAAGGCAAGCCTTATGTGTACATCCTCAGAAATGTCCAGATCAAAAGGAGGGGGTGCTGATACACCAGCATGGTGTATCATGTATCTCCCATGGTGGAGAAGTTTGGGGTGAACATCACGGGCTTCAGATAAGTCCATTCACGAGACAAGGAAGGCAGCTGGCCCTCGACACCAGGAGAAGGACACAGGGAAGTCCACTCCCATTCTGAGGCCTCAGTGCCATTTCTGATTACCTAGTCCTGCCTCCGACCCTGTTCTCCAGCAGAGGGGAGGAGCCGTTGGGCAGGGACAGGGCTGGGGGTATCCAGGAAAGCTTTACTGAGAAGGGACATCAGAGCTAAGTTGGACGATGACTGGAGTTCCCCAAGTGAATGGCGAGCGTTCAGATTCCTGTGCTTTGAATGTGAGATGCTCAGAACTCATCCACTTAGTAGAGTTAACTCATGTTTAACCCTACTTGGCAAGCAAGCCAGGCCAGAGTGTTGTGTCTTCTCTCACAGCCACAGGTAGAAGCTGTGAAGAGCTGATGTCTTCTGCCTCAGGGGAGGAAGGGGAGATTCTAGCCACGTTCCTCAAACCCCAGCCTCTCATACCAGGCCCCTGGGAGTTGGTGGCGGGGAGGCATTTGGGGAGAGTGGCACTCATCCCTGCTCAGGGAGGGTGGCACTGGTAGGCAGCTTCACAGACTTCCCAGACCTCAGACACCCAGGTACAAGAGACCAAGGCTCAGGGGACAGTCATCAGAGCCCATAAGTGGCTGGAGATGGCAGAACTCCAGCCCTTAGGCCATCTTACACCACCTCTCCACAGCTTCCGCTCCAGCTTGGGGAGGAGGGCAGTGCTGCACTGGAGGGGAACCATCGATCTGGGAGGTGGTGGGCCTGAGTTCTAGCCCTGGCCTCCCTTCACTGTCACTGTGAGGCTTTGGGGAAGACAGTGGCCCATCCTGATCCTCTATTTCATCTTCTCTAAAGTTTGGGTAATTCCTACACTGTTCATCTTACGTGGAATCGTGAGCATTAAAACATCTTTGAAATTGCAAGTAATTGTACATGTAGGCAGGACAAATTATTAATGCTGTCTTTAATTGTAACTGTTAGGCTCTCTTCCCAGATTGTGGTGCTGGGGTTGACAATGTGACTGCCAAGTCTTGGAAATCCTCAGAGGTGAGACTCTTTGGGCTTATGCCATGGGTCACGGTCTGGGCAGATCTGGGGGAGGAGTGCTAGCCCAGAGCGGGAGACCTGCCCCCAGCTCGGCCTCCGCTCCTGCCCTGCCCCCCAGCTCCCAGCAAATTACTGCTCCTCACAAAATTCAGTGTCCTCATTGTAGAGCGTGGCTGACATTTGTAAGGATCCCTGGAAGATTTGCTGGGGGAAGTGCCTTGAGGCTCTCTTTACCCCTCCACTGGCTAACTGGAGTCAGTCCCTTTCCTAGGCTCAGTGCCAGTGAGCTCCAGGAGCGGGGCGCCCATAAAAGCAGGAGGAGCCATAGCAGTGGGGGCGGGGCAGGGACAAAGCAGTGCAGTGCAGGGGAGAGGCCCCGGAGGCAGACAAGGACCTGGACAGGGAAGCTGGGGGAACTAGCCCTGGCTCTGGTAACAATTCCCCTCAAGGACAGGGGCCAGTCTCTACCCCTGTTGCACCTTAGTCTCTAGCCCTGTAAAATGGGCATAACCAGGCCTGCCTTGCAGTCCCTGTGGGAACACATGGAGACTGGACAGGAACTCAGCAGACAGGGTTGAGGGGTAATGCAACTTATCATTTATTAATATATAACAACAAAAATGATAAAGCTCATATCTGCAACTGTTTACGTCTTTGTTATAAGGTCTTGGTTGCTTTGTCTGGACTGGCTGTGACCTTCAGCTCCGGGGTCTGGGCTAGGAAAACATTCCAGTGACCTGCATAGAGGAAAGCAAAAGAGGGGTGTGGGGTGTGCGTGTGTGCATGCATGTGCACAGAGAGGCAGTGACTGGGGTAGGAAAAACTTAAGAAGGATGGTGAGAGCCTGGGTTTGGAGTCCACAGGAGGTAGGAGATGGGTATTTCCATCATACCCCCATCCCAGTCACTTCTTGGCACATGACCCCACCTTCAACCAACCAGCATTTGGGCCTAGGCTGGTTTCCTAACACCTGTTGGTGACACTCCCATCTGTGACTTCCTTCCCCATCTGAAACCCCACCTGGGTCCATCTTCCTCAGTATAGGGTAGGGCAAATAAGGGGCATCAGAAGGAAAGTGGTTAGGAGGGTTTCAATAGGAAATGTTCCAATAGAGAGGGGGTAGGCAGCATGAGGGTTTGGGGGCTCAGGCTTCCCTCCTCCACAGCCCTGTCTCCCCCACTCCCAGGACCAAATCCAGATGGTTCTGCTTCACCTTCCCACTCCCGAGTGTCCTGAATTGAGAAATCTCTGGCCCAGACACCCACTGGATTCCTGTGCCGGGAACTGACGTCTGTGGCCGACAGCCACCCTGCCCCTCCTCCCGGCACCAGCAGCCGGGAGCTCCCCAAGAGGTCCTGGCCTCTGGCCTGGCTTTCTTCCCAGGCCCCAGTCCTCGGCCTAATGTCCCACCTTCATGGGTGCCAGTGAGGAGCCGGAAGTTCTGTGCCTCTTTCTGGAAGTCTTGCTTCCTGACTTTCTTGATCTGAATCAAGTGGAAGATTCCTGAAGGCAGAGGCAAGGGCATGAGCAGGAAAGGTGGGGCCATGCAGTCGACGGAACAGGATAACTTAGAGATGTAACCTAGTCATCCCTCCCCTCCCCTGTTCCGACCAGGCACCAAACCCTGTGGACTAAATTTCCTCAGTATTTTGAACCTACCCTCCCATCTCCACTGCCACTTTCCCCATTCTTGCCCGGTCACATCTTGCCTGGGTCACTACACTAGCCTTCTGACCCCCTCTTACGCCCCCTGCAGTCTGTGATCCTAACTGCAGTCATTTGAAACCATACAGGACCTGTCACTCCCTTACCCTGACCTCTCATCGCCTCTCTGCTGACCCTCTCACACTACTCACCTGTCCACAGTGTGTGTGTGTGTGTGGGGGGAGCCCATATGGATTGGTCATGCTTTTTTTCTGGTCATAAAATGTATGATAAAAATCGGTAGGTGTGCTTATCAGACTCCCAAGGAACGTCAAGCATCAGAGTGGTAGGCCCCCTCTCAGCACGAGGCTCTGTTCACCCAGCCCCTAGTGGCCTTCCTGTGCTCCAGCCCTAAGGGACTACTTAAAGTACCCTGAGGGTCCCCAGCTTTTACATAGGCCACCCCTGCTGCTTCAACTCCTTCTCCCGTTGACTTCTGTTTCTCCTGCTGCCACCAGATGAACTCCTATGCATCCTCTAAGCTTTGGCTGGGAAGTCTTCCTTGATCTCCCCTCCCTGGGGCACCCACAGTTCTTAGCTTCTGTTGGTGATTAGACCTATTTCCAGTGTGCTCTCATCGTGTCTGTCCTTGCCTCCTCTGGTTACTCCTGCAGGGTTTTCCTCTCTGGCTCCCCTGAGCCTGACCCACATTAGTCATGTAGGACAAGTGAGTGAATGAACAAATGAGTGGATGATCCCTCAATGAATGGATGGGTAAGGAAACATATGAGTACCCTGTCTAGCCCGGGCCCTAAAGGGAACGAGGCATTAGCTGGATCTCCTGATGTTTGTGTCCCATGGGAAGCTGGCCACAGGCACCACACCTGGCCCTGAGGTCCCGAGCACATGGGCTATGAAGTTGCACCAGCTGTGACTGCCAGGGTCTGTGGCCAGAAAGAACAGATGTGACAGCAAGGCCTCTGCTAGGCCAGCACAGCTCTCAAGAAAACTAAGAACTGGCCTTGCTTATGGAAATCTGAGTAGGATGCCACTGAGGAGAACGTTCAGCACTAAGGTCCAGGAGGCTGGGAATGTCTAGCATCATTCTCAGGACCCCTAGTCCAGATGCCAAGGACCAGGCTATGAGAGAGACTCACTCCGGAGGCCCAGGCTACATCACAAGCTCGAGATGGCAATAGGTCCTTCTGCCCAGGCCTGCTGCTGCACACACCCCGGAACACAGATTAGAGAGGAGGTAATAGGGATGAGGGGAGGTCTTCACACTGTAGCCTGTAAAGCATGAGCATAAGAACTGTGCTCTTGGATCTGGAATCGAGAGCTGGCTGAGGAGCATGGCCATGGCATTGGAGGGTGGGCCAGGTCTGAGGGCAGCTGGATTCTGTGAACGTTGGGCAGAGATGGTACCGGCAGGTGACACTCAGCTCAGTGTGAAGACAGACCCTTTCTAGGTGGGGCCAGGGGCTGGAGACCATGCAGGAGGCCACAGGGGGCTTCCTTTCTAGACAGGGGCTGGAATCAGGATCCCTGATGTCCCTCTACTCTGAAACTCCAGAATCGAAAAGGGTCTTCACAATAAGCCAGTTTCTGGGGCCTGAGGCTGGCCTCATGGTGGCCTGGCCTCCCTGAGTCTGGGTGTTGGCATCTCCAGGCCAGTTCTCCAGGCCAGTTCACCTCTGGGTGAAGAAACAGGGTTTCCCACTGACAGACCTCAGGAGTGTTTGCTTTGACCCCCACAGTGTGGGGCAGAGAGGAGACGTGAGGCGCTTAGGCTGCCCAGAGGGTCAGGAGATGGGAGTCAGGCATGTTTGCCAGTGTCAGGAGGGTAGAGCCTGGCACCTACTCCTTTTCTGCTGGGTCTGGTGGTAGTGAGATTGACCTTGAGCTACAATGCTCTAGTCTACACCATCCTGGGCACATCTTGGCCTTCCTTAGACACCTTTCTGAAAGCATTAGGTCACCTCCGTGGAGGCGGCACTGGGGAGAGTCAGACTTGGGTTTGAATCTTTGCTTGACTGCTTAAACTGTGTGACTTTGAGCAAGTGGTTTTGCCTTTCAGACTCAGTTTTATCTGCAGGATGGTACGTTCATACATATCCCTCAGGTTTCTTAGATGGATGAAAATGAAACACATTAGCAAAGGGGCCTACTATACCCCAATCGCAGGGGAGAGCACAGCGCATGAAACCTGAGGCTCTGGGGCCTGTCTGAGGCTCTCACTGCCACCCTTGCCTTCATTGTGCTCCTCTTGCCTTCCTAATGCCTCCTCCTCCACGAAGCCTTCCAGCCTGACAGCTCAGCTCCTGGGGAATTCCTGCTGCATCCAAATCACTAAGTCCTGGGTTCCCATGGACAGAGACTGGGATCTGTTGCTCTCTGTGGTCCCAGTACCTTGTGGGGTTGGGGGGAGGTCTGAAGTAAACCTGCACCTGTCCAGGGACTGAGGGGACCTCAAGGCACAAAACAATGATAAGTGTTCCTGAATCTAACTCCTCGGCTGTGGCAGAGACCCCACCAGCTGCTGCTTGCACACCCCTGTGAATTGAGCTTGCTCCCTCCCTTCTTTGACAGAAAGGGTCTAGGTATGAGAAAGTGCTTCCCCTCATCGGTGGAAACATGCTTCTCTGTAATTCTGAGTAGGTGGGATGAAGGTACTGATGTTTAGTAGCACCTACTGTAGGTCAGGGCTGTACCCATGTTATTTCCTTTAATCCTCCAAAAACCCTCCTTCCCAATTAACAGAAGAAAAATTGAGGCCCAGGGAGGTCAAGTGATTGCCCAAGGCCACACAGCTAAGAGCAGAGCCAGGATTCAAACTCAAGGCTGTCTGATTCTCAAAGCCTCTGCTTGTTGTTCTGACCCTTGCAGTCACTCAGAACCCAACCGCTCCCCCTGCCTGGGGCAGTCCTTCAGAGCCAGGAAGTCAATGGTCCTGTCCCCCTGAGTCTTCTCTTCTCCAGGCTGAACAGCTCCGCTTTCTTCGTCCATTCCTCCTAGGACAGGAGGCAGAGTAGAGCAGGGAAAGAGCCGCATCTGACGTCACAAGACACGGGCTCTAGCTCCCGTCCTCCACTTACTGGCTGTGTGGCCTTGGGCCAGGTACTTCACCTCTCTGAGCCTCAGTTTCCTCATCTGTAAAATGGGGATAATAATACCTAACTCTCAGGATCGTTGAGGATCAAATGAGATCATGAATGTGAAGCACTTTGTAAACTCTGAAGTGCTCCACACATCGGCTATCCTCCTGACCATCAGTATTACCATCCCCTCGCCCACCCCCACCCACTCCAGCCAGACCCAGTGGATGAGAAAAGTGACCTTACAGCTAACTCACACTTAAAGAGTTTGGTTTGTTTTACTCCACCCAGGGGATCTATGTTTGGCAAGAGGAACCTAAAAGCCCAACTCTCAGCAATTTCCTTCTCAATGACAACGCTTCTTGACCTTCAGCTGGTGATCTGAGCATCCCGGTGCCGCAGGTGAGTTTTTCATGGAACGAGAACTATGTTTTGACGTCAACTTATTGGAAGGCTAGAATCCACCATACGGAAAAGGCTGAATGAGACTAGCCTTCAGGCAGGCCCTCTTGCCTTGCGGATGCTGTGAAGGCCCTTCTGCCTGAAAAGCTCTCCCCTCACTGCGTGCTGACCCTCTACCAGGAGATGTGCCTCTTTTCTATCCCCCCCACCGTCCCCCCACATACGCATTACCCTTTTCCTGGCTTCCTTGCAAGTGCAACAACCCCTTCCTCCCAGGAGAGGGAGCACTTCGAGTCCCTGGCCTTGGCGAGTGGATGAGTTTATCAGAACTGTCAGAGAATCACAGGCCCAATCTCTGTCTCCCTCTCTCTTGGAATTGGAGACTTAAATCTAGAAGGGTAGCCAGAGGCGGGTCTTCCTGGGCTGGAGGCCCTTGATCCACAAAATGCTCCTAAGGTGACTGGTAAGGGGGACAGGCCAGAGGTAAGCCCGGCTGGGAGGGGGCCAATGCTCACCTTTTACCAGCTTCCAGAGGTAGATCTCCACCTGCTCAGAGGCCTCATGCTCGAGGGCAAAACGATGTAGGTTGTCTGGGCTTGGAGCTATTGATGTGTGGACGAGGACATGGCCTGGCACCTTCGGACACCTGGTGGCACTGATGTCACTGGGGCCAGGGTCTGCCTTGTTCTCTGGGGAAGACAAGGAGATCATGAACACTCTGCCCCCTCCCTACCCCTGCCTGGTGAGCCCAGGAAGCCAGGCCACTGATCCCACTTCCCCTTCAGGTCTTTAAAGTCCTTGGGAAAGTTCTGGTGCCTCTGGCACCAGATTGACTGATTCTGTGTATACTTGCTAGAGTCTCTGAATTGGTTCTCTAAGGCCAGTATTTTGTGAGCCAGGCATTTTCCACTCCCGTATGTCTAAAGCCCCTGCAGCCTGACCCCCCATGTTGGAGATGTTCCAAGTACCTGTGCCCCGGGGAGAGGGACTCTGCGCCCACTGCCTTCCCTGTCCCCAGCATCTCTTTGTACCTGGGCAAATCTTGCAACACTTCCCGGCCACTTTCTCAGGGCGATGGCAGGGGTACTCCGTGGGACAGGTCACCCGCTGGCAGTCCTGGCGGCCATCCTGACAGGTGCACAAGATGCAGGGCAGGGGTCCAAAGGAGCGGAAAGCTGGGTGCCACACCTCCCCATGGGAGTATGTCTTCCCACTGTGCACACAGGCTGGGGCCAAGGAGGGCGGGAAGGGAGGAGGGTCAGTGCCACGGACCTGGGCCAGAGTCCTAGGAATGGGTGGGGCCAGGAACTTGGGGAGCCCCTGCTCCACCAGTCTGGCCCAGCCACACTGCCTGCAAAGTGGAGGCCGGGTATAGAACTGGACCCCTGTCCCTGCCTTCTCCCTTTTTGCAGTACTCAGGGCTGACCCCAGCCCAGTATGGGCCCAGTATGTTCTTGCTGAAGATGGAGAGTTCTCCCCCTGCCCTTTACGGGCACCTCTGGCAGGGGGAGTTCTTAGACCCAGTTCTGTCCCCACCTGGCAGTGTGAGCTCGGGCAGGTCCCTTCCCGTTTCTTAGCCTCAGTGTCCCATGAGTCCCAAAGGGGTTGTGACAGGTAGCTTCACAGCTGAGCCTGCTTTCCTCCCCTTCTGCTGCTCCTTCCCTGCGCCATTCTGCCCATCTGCCTGCAGCCTCCCTCCGCTCCCTCCTTCCTTTGCCTTTCTCTCACTGCTTCCTTCTATTGTATTTATTTCCATGTCTGAAACCCCTCCAGGACAAGGACCACTTTTCATCTCTCTGTTCTGTGCCCTCTATTCTCAGCAAAGACATGGCAGAGGCTCAGAAAATACTGTTGTGCTGCCCCATGGTCTTGGTTCTAGGGCTGGTTCTGTGTCTCAGTACTCTGAACCTTGGTGCCCTTTCAGGACCCTCCAGTTTTGATGTTTTAGGAATCTACAAGCTCCTGGCCAAGTTGAGATCAGGGAAGCACTGAGCTAGGGTGGGGGGGTTGCAGGGATGGAAGGCAGGAACAGTCGGGGCCCCCTTTTCCCACCTTAGGGATCAGAGGAGATTCCCATCCCCACCTTTCTTATGTTTCTCCTTCAGGACAATCTTGACTGTTGTGCTGCCTGCCCCCTTCGGTCGGAAGTGGCGAGAGATGAAGCCCAGAGGAGAGCTGAGACCAGTGGGGGCTGGGGTGCCCAGGCCTTTCTTTCCCCCACTGTCCCCCGAACACGGATCCTGGGAATGTCTCTGCAAATGGCAGGAGGAATGAGGATCACTGCCCGTGCCCGCAGAGGAGCAGCAAGACAGGCTGTGGTGAGGCCTACAGTGGACACCACCATCACTTCCTAGTAAAGAGAGGCACACACTAGGGATGAAAAGATCTGGATGTGGCCCAAGATGTTCTCAGACAGTGAATCTTTGAAAACTCTCAGAGGACGGTGGTTTGGAAATCCAGCCTCCACCAAGCCCTTCTCAGGCCTGTCAGAGCCAGGGCCTTGGGGCTGGAGTGAACACAGGGTGCTGAGGTCTTGATCTGGGAGACACCACGATCAGGGACCTGGGAAGCTTCATATTTAAGAAACGGGAGGTAAGGCTGTAGTGAGTTAAGAGTCGGGGAATTCTTTGAGGAGATTTTGTTGATTGGGGAAAAGATGGGCCTCTGAAGATCTCACCAGGCCCCAGAATCCCACAGGGCAGAAGACTAAAAGCAGGCCCCACCTGGAGACCCTTGGTCCCCAGAGCCCACTTTCTTGAACTCCTGGAACCTAAGATCCTGAGACCCTGTCCCTCCAGACCAGGTCTTGGGCAGACTGGCAGTGATAGCAAATGGTCTGTGGTAAGGGCGGTGTAATGAGGCAGGAGCAGCACAGCTCATGGTTAGAGGACTGCTCCAGGCCAACGCAGAGGAGCAAGTGGGCTTATTACCCCCCTCGCTGATACTGAGTCACTCATATTCCTTCTTCTACGGCCCCTTCCTGCCCACATGATCTCTGAGTCAGAGACTGGCCAGATTCAGCCTATAGGAGCTCCCAGGAAACTATCTCAGGCCCCAGAACAGGCTCAGGTACATAGGAGGCTCCCAGGAAATGTTTGTCAAGTGGAATAGTGGCAAGATGGAATCAAGGAGCCCAGCCCTCTAATGGGACTTGCTCACATCATCCAGTAAGTAGCTAATCAGGGCCTGGAACTAAGCCTGGGTAGGCTTCTCTTAGCACACTCTATCAGCACACTGATAGAATGGCAGAGATAAAGGGGGAGCTCGATAGTTCAGACCCCTGGGGAGTCCCTGAGCATGGAAAGCCAGCCTCCAGTCCCCCATGGTCCAGGTGCCCCAGGCTCAGAGAGGAGGTGGAGTTGTTCCCCTTGTAGACACAGCACAGAGGGCGGTTGGGGACTTGAGTCAGAGAAAGAGGTCCAGTTTAGCTCATCCTAACTCCAGACAGAGATGGAGAGGGGCCAAGACAGAGGGGAGGACAGAGAGGTAGCCACCAAACAAAGAACCAGTACCTCAGGGGCTGGGTGGGGAAGGCTGGGCCAAGACAGAGGCCATTTCCTCGGGGGAATGTGCTGCTCAGAGGCAGCCTGAACTAAGGACAGACACAAGGCTATCTAGCCTCGGATAGAACAGTGTCACAGTATTTCTCAGGAGGGAAATTGGGCAGTTTGGGGCCTGCTCTTGTACATCGGGGTACTTTCTCCCAGGCCCCTGTTGACCCAGCAGCCATGATGGGAGACTGGGAAGAGGGGCTGGAACATGGTGGAACTCATGTTGCTGACCTAGGGGACAGATGAGAAATGACGACAGTAATGGTACCGCCTGCCCCAGAGTCCTGGGCTTTAGGCCGTGGCTACCAGCCGCCCTCACCCCCTCTCCCCACCTTGTGCACTCACCACCCCATGCTGTGACTGCGTAGTGTCCTCTTCAGCTGATTTCTCACCTGACCCATCTGGAAACCCAAAGGGAAGTTGGGTCAGCCTCCACCTCCTGAGCCTTGTAGACCGGAGCCCTGCAGGCCCTCAACCCCCAGGCCTTATGCCACTTATGCAGTCCCTGCACACCAGCAGGTCCCTCTGCCCCTCTGGGGCCTCATTCCCACTTCCCATTACAACCTCTCCTCACCCTCGGGTTGACACATTCCCCACAACCGGGTTACTGCCTCAGTTTCCCCACACTGACCTCCTGGTGGTCACCATTAGGACTGAACTTGTTGACTGGGCCAGCGCATCTTATTCAGTGCCCATCATGGATGGCCCACGGGCCCAGCATCCCATCCCTGCAGCCTTACTTCGTGCAGCCCCCTGGGAAGCCACCCTATCCAGCCACACTTGAAGTCATCAGGCCTTGATATACTATCCATTCGCAGGCACCAGCCTCCAGGCCCTCTGTGCTTTCAGTTGGAACACCCTGGGACTCTATCTTCCACCCTGTGGGGTCCCAGCACACAAGGCCCTGAGAGGGATTCTCTCTCTCCAGCCCCCGCCTCACATACAGTCTGGTAGTCTTGGTTCAAAGACCAAGAACACTGGAATCGGACAGTCCATTAGGAATCACCAAGGCCGGCCTCTCAGTGCATATCTGACACTGCTGAAGCCCAAAGAGGGGAAGGAATGGGCAGGAATTAGCTGGAGGAACCAGGACTGAACTGGAGTTACCTAACGCCTGGTCCAGTGCCCTTCTACAATGCCAACATCTGGAGAAGCATTCTACTATGAAGCCCTCCCTTCCCCCAGTGCTGCCTCCTCCAGGAAGATTTCCTGAACTACCTCAACTCACAGGGTATGGTGTGACCATCTGTGCACTTGTTTCTGCGCAAGCCATTTGCCCTTCACCAGCTGAGGTTCCTCCGCCTCTAATAGTCCATGGCTAGGGCCCTGGGATGGGCTGGGTGGACACTCAGATCTAGGGATAGACTCACCTTTGCAGGTCTGGCAACAGGAGGCAGGCAGTGGTAGAGGTGCAGGGCAGCCTGGTTCTGGGCAGGTCATGAGACCGCAGTAGATCTGGCCTTCCTGACAGAGCAAAGGGGAGATGAGCTCCAATGAGGAACAGCCTCGGGGTTAGAAGAGACCCTGCCCTGTGGGCAAATGGCTTTGAGGTGTCCTTTGAAGTAGGAGAAGAAAGGAGCAGCAGAGCCTCCTGGGCAAGGCCCAGCCAGCTCAGAGGAGGGGTCCCCTGTGCCCTCCCCAATTGGTCCCCAGCCCTGAGGTAACATTCATCCTTCAGCTTCTAAAGGGTTTTCAGACCCTGTCTCTCCCTCATCTCTTATAGCAACCTGGTGAGGTGGGATTCTTCCATCCTACAGATAAGGAGGGCCCGAAGAGGGGCCTGAACTGCCTGAAACCAGAAATCAGAAATGCAACCCAGAAGAGCCGACTGGAGCCCAGCCTGCAGGCTTTTTCTGCTGAAGTCAACACCCTCCTCCCCTGACCTGGGACAGGGGATCCAGAGAGAGGAGGGAGATCCATGGGACACCCGTTGAGCTGATCTTGCTCTTACTGAAAACCCTAGGTCCCCAGCTTTAGGACCCAGCCTGGAGAGGCAACACTGCTGAGAAAAGGCCTTCTGGGAATCCTTTGGTGAGTCACTTCTCTTCTCTGGGCCTCACTTTCCTCTTTGATGGAAAGGGAGCCCTCCCATCTGGGTTGTAAAGAGCAAGTGAGCGAGTAGTTGTGAAAACCCTTTTCAAACCGGAAGGCATGATGTCCCTGGCAGGAAATGACATCACCTCGAGTCCTTTCCCTATGCCTTTTGCAGTGAGGCTCAGAAGTAGGCCAGGAGTCAAGCCAGTCCCATTTAAACAAGGAAGAGAAGAAACTGGGAGACCCCAGTGTCCAAGGAGAAGGGACAAGGAATCATAAGAATGTTCTCACCACCCCACCGCCATGCCATCGTTCTGTCTCCTCCCACAGACTCCTCCTCATCCAGGCCCTTGTCCTTTACAGGAAGCAGCACAATACAGGGAAGAAGGGAACATGAAATTTGGAGTCATGCGGCCCTCCCCTGAACTCTGGCTCTGCCACTTAACTAGCTGTGTGACCTTAGGCAAGTTACTTAACTGATATGAGCCTCAGTTTCCTCATCTGAAAAATAAGAACGGTGATTGCCTGCTCCTAGGGCCTTGGGGTGCTGTATGGAAATACAAGGCATCTCCACGAACCAGCAGGTACGATATATTAGACTGCTGGAAGAAGCTTAAGCCCTGTAAAAAATAATTGCTCTCTACGTTGAGTTGTAAGTGGCCACTCCTTAGTATTTGGAAGTTGTTTGCTCTGCTGCACAGATACCTGAAGATTCAGAATCTCAGATGAATAGGATGGCTGAAAGCCACCTGTCAGCCTAAAGCAGGGCCACACTTGAGCCCACCAAGGAGGAGGGTAGAGACTTTCCAGATCAGGCCCTGCTTGGCTTCAGTCTCTGTCCCCTGGGAACACTGCAGGGTCTGATCTTCCTGTGCCTAGGCCCAACTCTGACCACAGCAGGAGGAGCTTAAGGGAGCTCAGATTATATCCATTTGCAACAAACAGTCTGACCCGTCTCTGTACCCCAGGACTGATCATTCACTCATTCACTTATTCATTCAGCAGTCATTATAGACATCTTTGTGCCAGGCCCGGAGCCGGTAGCAGCAGAAGATACAAAAATGAACTGGGCATGGTCCCTCCATTCGAGGAGTGCGGAGTCTACCGGGGAACACAGAGTGGGCAAATGTGAGTGTACAAGGTAAGCATGCGGTGTCAGGCAGCTCATGGGGCTGCAAAAGGCCAGAGACGGGCAGGACATTCTGAAGCCCAGATGTTCCCTTCCCCCGGAGCCCATCTACTCTCACTTGGCTTTGACCAGGAGGAACGCTATTCCCCCCCATACCACACCACTGTGTCTTTCAGGCCTCTCTGTGCCGGCCTGTGCTTAAGAGAACGCAGAAGGACTTACAGTACAGCTGCAGAGGACACACTGGTTGGGCAGGCGGGCTGGGAGCAGCTCGTGGGCACTGAAGATCTCTCCGTGTTGGTACATGGTCCCATTGTGCTGGCAGTACTTTGGGGGGGCCCGGAGCCCAGAGGGGGTGTGAGGTTCTGCAGTTGGGGGAGGGGAGAAGAAAATGAAGTTTCACATTGCTCCAAAAGCTTTGTCAAAATTCACCAGGCCACTTTCCTAAAGATTCAGCATCTTATTCTATCTTGGCACTTCAATCAAGTTCTGGCCTCAGCCTTCCCAGCCAGATATTAACCAGTCGAGAGGTCCCGCTGATACCTACATCTGACCATGTCACTCCCTCTCATGGTTCCCCACCATGGCCTTTCAGCCCCTCAGTGTCTGAGCTGGCCCTGACGAGAGCAGGAATGCAAGGCCAGAAGCCTCAGCTCCACTGAGCCCCACTTGGTGGGGACCTTTGTTAGTTCATTGCCTGTTCAGTGAGCATATCCAGGAATCCTCTCTAGTGCCAGGCACTGTTCTAGGTGGTGGGGATACAGCAGTGAACAAAATAAGGTCCCATGCTGAGTTAGATCCTAGTGGAGTCAGCTGGAATGATCTGGGCTGGCCCTGAGCTTGGTGTAAGCTCCATCATCCACTGGCCACCACAGCCCCGCTCCTCAGCACCTGCCAGTTAGCCTGTCCTCATCCTGCCAGGTTGTGGGGTTTAAGTTTCCAGTCCTGAGAGAACCCACTCATTCTCTCAAGACACCTTTACTAAGCGCCTTCTGTGTACCAGGCACCAGGCTAGGCATTGGGAATGGAGTGCAGAGTAAGACCCAGGCCCTCCCACCCAGAAACTCACAATGTAATTGGGTAGAGAGACACTCTACAGGCGGTGACACTAGTATGGTAAGGGCTAAGGCATATGCAGGCATCGGTTGTCAGCATAGACAAGGAGCCCTTAACTCAGGAGCTGGGAGCAGGGGCTGGGGGCTGGTCACGGAAGGCTTCCTGAAGGAGCCGATGGCTGAGCTGAGTCCTGGAGAACCATTGAGCCAGGAAGGTGAAGGGACAGGGCAGGGACAGGGAGAAGGAGAGAGGAGCATGGAAGAGGGAAGGGGCCAAGGCACAAAGTCAACAAGGGGAGGTAAGGACTCCTGGAGTGAGCCTCTACCAGGGAGGAAATATGATACCCCCCTCACCGGGCAGGATGAAGCTCAGAGCCCCTGCTCCCTGAGGGAAGCCAGACCCAAGGACATCTATGACCCAAGTCAGAGCCATGGTGAGATCCCTACTGGGCTCCCTCATGGAAAATGAGTCCCTTTACACATTTACTCCACACAGATCCCCAGCTCACCAAGAGAGCCCTGGTTACAGAGCCTGGAGACCATAGTCTGGAGCCATGTTTGATCACCTTCCTGATGCTTCTAAGTACTGATTTTCCTCTCGACATGGTCTCCCCACTGGGTGCCCCTCGTTGGCCATTTGGTTACATATACACTTGGTTATGCCAATTCCTTCTCAGACTGCCTCTCTTCTCCTCTCTTTTACCTCTATTTCCTAGAATTCCAGTCTCAGATGCTCTTAGAATCTTAAAATCATAGACATTTAGCATGAAGATGTGTAGAGTACCTGAACCTCAGCACTGTGGGGATTGTCCAGGGACATGCGCTCCAACTCCTTGGGTCATTCCCAGCCCCAGGGCGGAAATCCTGGCATCTCCCTACAGGGCCTGCCAGCCCCGGATCCCTCATGCACTGACACAGGACATGTCCACTCTCTCTAGCTCTGGTCAGCCAGAGAGGGTTGGGGACCAAGCGTGCCGTCCCTGGGCCAACCACACCCCTGTTTCCTTCAGCCACTTTCTACATTTTCTCCCTCCTCCTGCTAAGCCCAGTTACTTAGGAATGAGAAGTTTGCGGCTACCCCAGCCCTCCTTGGGGATCCAGGATGTTTCTTCCCCTGAGTACCTTTGTTGCCTCCAGACCCTCTGATGGCTACAGTCTGCCCCCGCTCATTCCAGGAGCCCCCCTCTGCCAGAAGCCCACATTGGGATGGAGATAAGGGTCAGTGAGCAAGGGGGAGGAAGGAGGCTACTTACCCACACACCGGGGACAGCACTGCTGTGGCTCGGTCACAGGCTGGGGACAGTGGACAGGTGGGCAGTGGAGGCGGTAACAGCTCACATGGGCACTCTGAAGGGGACACAGGGGGTTGGTCCTGATTCCAAAGAACTGTGGCCTCCCAAATGAACCCATCCTCTCCCCAAACCCCATCCCAGCTGTGGAACACTATGCTCATTTTAAACCTGTGACAGGAGAAAAGCAATCAAATCGATTTGTCCAGTCCCTCCCCTTCCCCTACTCACATGCCCCACCATGGAGGGGACTGCAGTGTGCATGGATTTGCACAGACCTGTGTCCCCTTCCTGGTGTTTGAGAAGTATGAGTAAAAGGCTGGAGTTATTTTGACTTTGATCTTGACTGTTGTTGCTTCAGCTCGGGGACTTGATTCTTTTCCCTCTGGGCCTGAGATTCATGGTTAAGAGAGGGCAGGTGACAGGGATGGGGACATGACTAGAAACCTGATGTGGAGAAGACTCAGGGCTTTGTGATCTACTCCCTGAATCTCTGGGAGGTTTGGGTAACTTTATGCAAAGCTTCAGAGCTGGCACCAGAGAAGGAGGGGCCCAAAGGTCTTATGCTGTTTCACGTACAACAAACAGAAGAGACTGGGGCAGAGAAACAGAGAGCTAGAGAGAGAGGGATGAGCAGAAAGAGAGGAGCTGAAGAGAGAGAGGCTACTGCCCCTGATAGACAGGGTCTGTCAGCCCAACCACCTGACTCTCCCCTCTGTGTTGTAATGAATCATTTTCATCAGTCTTGTCTATTCAACTGCGGATTCCCAAGAACAAGGATCAGTCCTGGTCTGTTCATCGCTGAATCGTCAGCTCAGGGCCTTGCTCCTGTAACAGTGCCTGTTACAGTCTGGATGAAGGAGGGAGTGAATAAATGAGAGCCAGGAGAGGGTGATAGAGGGCCTCTGTGTTAGATGAAGGGAGCCAGCTTTGTCCAACTGTGAAGTTGACAGGTTTGCTTCCAGGCCCCCTGCCCACCGAGTTTCCCCCCAGCACCTCTTGCCCCATGGAAAACCCTGGACCAGACGCCAGGCCCTCTGGGGTCACTGCTCCTCAAGATGGCCAGATCGCAAGGACTCATTAGTACTAAGGGGCATCTCAGAGTCTGTAGAATTGGTCTGAGCCCCTCAATTGAGTAACTGGAGTGGAATTCAAGGAACTGGGTGACCTGAAGAGTTAGAATCTCTCTCTTGATTATGGTCTTAGAGGAGCCAAGGGGTAGAGACAATCCGCAACGTACAGCCGGAAATAAGTCAGAGACAGGCAAAATGTTGAATGGGCTGGGGACCAGGCGGGAGGCCTTGCAGCCAGATCAACTCTCAGGGAAGTCATAACTACCATGTACTGAGTGGGCACTAAGTAGGGGCTTTGTTTTATATATAAATATATGATCTCTCTTTATCTTCTCAGCAATCCTCAGGGTAGGAACAACTATCCACACTTCCACAATGAGAGAAGAGCCTCTGTCCTAGAGGTTAAGTTGCCTAAGACCCCACAACTGATGAGCACTGTCTCCAGGATCTGGGTCCTTTCCATGATGCTGAGCTACCTCTGATGACTGGGCGAGGCGAGGAGTGGGGAGTGGCACTTGTTGGCTCAGTATCTACAGTGTGACTGCTGGGTGCCAGGCCCTCTTCTAAGCTCTGGGGACATAGCAATGAGACCAACACAGTTTCTGCTCTCCCAGAACTTGCATTCCTAGGAGTAGGAGACAGTCTATAAAAAAATAAACAAGTAGGAACAAGATCATTTCAGATGTTAAAATTATGGTAATAATAAAAACAGGGTGGTGGGATTGAGTTAACAAAGTTAGACTCTTTCAATAACAGCTGTCAAAGAAAGCCTCATAAGGGGTCACGTGTATGTGATGGATGGCGAGTGGAAGGGACCGTTCCTGAGAAGATCTCGTGGGGGAAACATCGATGGGGAGGGGAAACATCAACGGGGAGGAGCAACCAGGTAGGACTGAGGTTGAAGTGTTGGTGCAGGTGGGAGACGAGGTCTGAGAAAAGGGCAGAAGGTAGCTCCTCCAGTGCCCAAAGCAGGAAATTTGAATTTTATTTTAGGTGCAATGAGAAGCTATTAGAGGGTTTTAAGAGTAGAAGAACGTGGTCAGTTTTATGTGTAGAAAAAATCATCCTAGCTGCTGTGTGGAGGACAGACTTAGAGAGGGAACAGGGAGAGCCCTTGGGAGGCTGGTGTAGCAGCCCAGGGAGAGATGAAGGTGGCTTTCATTAGGGGAGCAGTGATGGTGGAGAGAAGTGGAGGGACTCAGGGCATATCTTGGAGATAGCCACACAGCCCCTTGGGTTGGAGAAATGGTGTGTGTATGAATTCCAGGGAGGGAGAAATGAATTAACGCCAGTGGATCACAGAACTTGGACTTTGTCAACTGGACCGCATGATATGTCTGGAATTTTCTGTTATGGTTTTCTTTCTGTTCTCTGGCTATATTTCATAAAGTTCTTTTTGTAAAGGCTGATTGGCCTCATATGTGCTAAGGAGAACCAAGGGGAGGCAGTTGTGGGGGGGTTGTGTCCACGCTGGAACCAGTGTTCTGCCTCGGGCCAACACAGGAGAAGGAGTGGAGAATCTGTGGGACAGATCCCAGGAGGAATGAGACCTCAGTGATCAGAAGCAGGAGAGGGGCTGGTCTGCCCACCCCCATTTCCTAGTGTCTTCTCAGAAGCTCTTCTCTGCTCTCACTTTGAGGATTGTCTTAATCTTAAGAGACTTCCTGCAGTCCTCTCTTGGCTTTGTGCAGGGAAAGACAGGCACCAAGGGGCTGGCTCCAGGTAGGTACCCTGTCCCTCCCTCCCCACCCCCAGCACCAGCATCTAGACAGAGAGATCTGAGGATCTCACACCAACCAGGTTGGGCCCCAGGCAGCTGGACTAGAGCTATGGGTGTTGCAAGCCTCCCAAATCACTCCCCCTCCATCCTTACTCCTCCACCCTCATACCTGGCCTGAGAATTCTGAACCACATGGGGATCTTAGTTATTCTGGCTAGTTGGTAGTACAAGGCTCTATGGAGGGTGCTGGGATGGGATCATTGGGGGGCGGGGTGCTGAGGGGAGGTTAGCCAGAGGATCTGGTCTCTGTCCCAGTTCATTCAGCCTCTGGCAGCAAATTGGGCCTGAGTGAGCACCTAGGAAGTTCTGCCCTCAGGGGCTCCATGTAGGAGGGTTGGTGACTGACAGGCACCGATAACTGTCATCCTTGGCCAATAGTTATCAGGAGGAAGGGACTGAGAAACTTATGTGGCATCCCAGAAGAAGACACCCTTGCGGGTGAGGTATCAAATAAGGCTATTGGTGGGGATGGCTTGCAGGTGAAGCCTTGAAGGACCAATATTCGAGCTGGTGGCCTTGGGAGGACACATCCTAAGGCCGGGCGCAAGAGAGGTGGCTGGAGAAAAGGGCACAAGGAAAGAAAGGAAAGAGAGGTCAGGGCAGAGAGGCTCTTGTCCTGGGACACAGGCGAGGCCGGCAGCAGCAAAGGGGAAGGAAGGCTGGCTGAAAGGTGGAGGGCCCCAGCTCCCCAACCATGTCCCGCCACTGACACGCAGTGTGACTTACCTCTGGCAGGTGCACAGAAGCTCCCATGTATTGAGTACTCGCTGGTGAAGTGGCATGGCCCCCCTCCCTCTGGGCTGGCATACCCGTCACAGGGGGCCGAGGGGCCAGAGGAACTTACCTCAGAACAGGTACAGCGCAGGCAGTACATCAAGCCCTGTGGCTCCAGGTAGGGGTGCCAGCTCTCACCGGGGGCGTATCTTTTCCCATGGAAAAGGCAGAACATGTCTGGACCTGGCAGACCAACCCGTGCTTCATCAGTCCCGGGAGGCTCCAGCCCAAAGACCCCACTTTGTGCCTCCTTGTCTTTGGTTCTAGGAAGGCTGTCATCTGGACCAGATAGGCAAAAGAGAACCCACCAGACGTGCTCTCCCAGTCAGGGGCCCAGAATAGCTGAGTCCATCAACTTGACTACACACTTGCTGTGTGACTTTGGGTATGTCACTGCCCCTTTCTGAACCTTAACACTTCTCTCATAGGGCAGTTAGGAAGGTCAAACTGCGAAAGTACTTACAGATTTAAATTGTGGTATAAATGTTATTAGATGAACAATCTGAGGCCCAGAGAGGATAAATTACACCTTTAAGGTCACAAAGGAAGTCTGTCACCGAGGAGGGATGGTAGCCCATGCCTCCTGATTCTCAGCTCAGTGCTCCTTCTGCCCTCATAATCACACTGGCTTCCTCTTCCTTGGTCCCATGTTGCTTATTTATTTACTACATCTCTGCATGTGTGTGTGTGTGTGTGTGTGTGCGCGCGCACGCGCGCACACACACACACACGCACGCCTTCTCTCTGGGTCCTGTGACCCACCTTTTCAATAAAGCCCCTCACAGCAGCTTTCCTGTTTTCACAGTCTACTGTGTCCTTATTCCCCGAGCTGTGATGAAAGGGTTTGAATTGGGAAAACAAGGGCTGCCTAGGGCAAGGTTCTTAGAAAGCCGACTTTTAAATATCCTTAAAAATAGTCATTGCTACTTCTATGACTGCACGTCAATTGGTTATTTTTGTGATCTGCATCTCAGTTGTTAATCTGCAAGGGATTGCTTCCAAGGACGATTGAGGAAAGATTGTCTCATTAGGTTAGATACCTCTCCTGCAAGGCTGCTTTCCAGAAACCACCTCTCTCTAACTTCTCACAGCCCATCTGCCGTCCAGCCTGCGCCCCGCCCCCCCCTTACCCATCAACACCCAGCCTGGCTCCAGGTCGGGCTTCCAGCTCCACGCCCCACCCTGCCGCTCCTCCTCCTCACAGGTAGCGGGTGACTTTTACAAGCTGGAAGGGATGCTACCAGTCCTACAGGAAAACTCTCCATTACCTAAAGGATAATCTGAGCTCTTTTAGGGTGGAAGTGGGCTGCCCAGAGCACAACTCTGGCCACAGAGTTTTGTGGAATTAAATGAGATCAAGGTAGGGAAAAAGGAGCCAACATGTACTATCTTCCGTTTATATAAATTACTTAATTACTCCATTGGCATTGTTTTGAGCGTTAAATTGGGTAATGCTTGTCAAGTGCCTACTTAGCCCAGTTCCTGACACTTGTTGAATGTTATTGTCATGATAATTGTGGTTAAAATGACCTGGCAAGATGGGTCATCTTGAATAGATGAGCCAGTCCCTCTCAGCTGGGTTATTGGGATCGTTAACATCCCTATGAGAAAACCAGATGGAAAACTGAGGATGCAGAGCCTGACTTGCCTGGGCCAACCAGCTAGCAATTGGAACCCAGAACTCCACCCCCAGGCAGAACTCCCTGCAGTTTACCTCCCTTCTTGGATTTGTTCCCCATCCCAGGGCCCGGGGGCTCCTCTGTCTGCCTCAGAGACCACCATACCCTATTCCCTATTTTCTTTCCTCGTCCCCCAGCAGTCTAGAATCTACAGTTTGCCTTTCCCACCTCCTCCTGCCCACTTTCTAGATCTTTCTCTTAGACGTTTGAACTCATAGAATCGCGGAGGGCTGAAAGCAGCACACTAGCCGGACAGCCGGGCAGGAATTCCCTCTCAAGGAGAGGAGCCCCAAGGCCAGTCCTAACCTTTAGAAAGCTTCCCTTGTAAGAAGCTGGAACTGGCCTGCCCCTGGCTCCTTGCACGGCTCCTCCTGCTCAGTCTCTTGGGCTCCCAGAACAAAGATTTGAGGCCACAGTCATGATACCTCCAGAGTCTGTGCTTCTGTGGCCGCTGGGGACCCTAGGAGTGCATGGCTTAGCTTCCTCCCTGCCCCCTTCCCAGCTCCCCAAAGTAGAGGGGGGAATCAGACAGCAGATCCCTTTCCCAGCAAGGCCCCAGCAAGGCCCCGGCTGCGGCTGGCCGGCTGGCCCGTATCAAATGAGCTGTGTTTATCTCTCGGGCCTCCGCTGGCAGAGAGGGCGGGACACAGCCCCGGCTGGGGTGCTTGTCAGAGCCAGCCCAACTCTCCAAGGACTGAATAATGTCTTTCTTCCTCAGTCCCCTCCCCCCACCAGGGAGGGGCCGATTGCGACACTACGCGCAGCTTTAGGTCTCAGCCTTGTTGCTGAAGAAACCCTCTCCCACCTTCCTTGGGGCAGCCCTGCAGCCTGGCTCCTGTGCCAGTTGGCACCCCTCCCCTTCACTGCCTGCTCAGAGCATGGAGACAGAGAAAATGTCTCAGCCTGTGCCCAGGCCGCCCCACCAGCAGACCTGGCAGGGGCTGGGAACATGGGGGACCTGGCAGGCCTGTCCTGCACCCCAGGAGGCTTCCTATGGCCACAACCCCATCCCACCACACCCTCCAAGGTGAGAGGCATTGCCTGGGGCTCCCCCTTATACTAGTGAGGTGAGTGACCAAGTCCATGCCAACGCCAGGCAGAGGGAGGAATGGCCAGGCTGCAGCCACCTCCATCCCGGCAGTCCTGGCATTAGCTCTGATTCTGGCTAATGGCTGGTGGAAGGAGCTGTAGCTCCTTATGCCACAGATTCACTGTGTGACAATGAGGAAGACTCTTTCTTCTCTGAGCCTCAGTTTCTCCTCTGCAAAATAAGGGGGAAGGTGAACTTTGATCTGCAAAGATTTCTGCCCAGGTACTGCTTATGAATGCATGATTTCACAGTTAAAGACCCCAAGGCTCTAGGTGTCAAAGATTAAAGATTTGAGAGTTCTTGGGGCGCCTGGGTGGCTCAGTGGGTTAAAGCCTCTGCCTTCGGCTCAGGTCATGATCAGGTCCTGGGATCGAGCCCCACATCAGGCTCTCTGCTCAGCAGGGAGCCTGCTACCCGCTCCCCCGCCGCTGCCCGCCTGCCTCTCTGCTTACTTGTGATTTCTGTCTGTCAAATAAATAAAATCTTAAAAAAAAAATATTTGAGAGTTCTGTGCTTCCAAGAGTCTATTTTCATGAGAACATGAAGCTTCTAGAATTGTACAATTTTGTGACTCTAAGATCTGATCATTTGAAGCTTCCATGGTTTAGGATGTATTGATGGTCTCATACACCCAAGTTCTCAGGGGTTCTGACATGGGCTAGGATAAGATTCAGGGAGCCAGTGGAGCTGATCATGGGTAGCACTAAGCAGGAGCCAAAGTTTGCTTCTCACATCCACTCCTTTCCTATCTATTCCTTTTGGTCTTCTGTGGCCTTCCCATACCTACCTTAGCCTTGATCCTGACATGTTTCCCTCTCCATCCACCACCATGCGTCATCCCATCCTCCCTCTGCCCAACTCAGGGGTGCACTAGGCCTTCTCTCAGGGATCTTTAGGAGTTAATGGCCCCTAGCAGTGATGTTTAATCCAGGAAAAAAAGACAGGAGTGGAGAAAGTTTTCATTTGAAAAGAACAATTGGCCCTTGTCCAGGCTTGAGATAGAGAAAAATTAAAGCTGGACGGGTCTCATACCCTTCAAAACCCCTCCCTCAGTGGCAGTGTGTGTATAGTCCAAAGACCCTGGCTTTGGAATCAGATAAGTGGGGGTTCCAATTAGATTTGGCCTTTTGGGGGGGAGGGGCAGAGGGAAAGGGAGACAGAGACTCTTAAGCAGGGTCCACACCCAGTGGGGAGCCCGACAAGGGCTCTTTCTCACAACCCTGAGATCATGACCCCAAGCTCATGACCAGAGTCCTGAAATCAAGAGTGAGACACTTAACCAACTGAGCCACCAGATGTCCTGGATTTGGCTTTTATCTGCAGCCTGAGTTTAGACAAGTGACTTAATCACTCTAGGCCCCAGTTTCCATAGCTGTTAAATGGGATTCATAATAATCTCTATCGCTCAGGGTTATTGAAGAATTAGATCAGATAATATATGTAGTATGCCTGGTGCTTGACACATATTAGATGCTCAGCTACATGGTAGGTCATAAACAAAAAGCAGATCTAGGTGCTGACCCCATACCTCCCTAGCAGTCTCTTAAAGTATTCCTTTTACTCCCACAACTCTGTGGGTGGCCCTCAGGCTCCCATTAGGGCATGAACGTCATGGTCCCAGCCACCGAGGTCAAACCTCCCAGGTATCATTTCCAACCTTACCAACACTGTTCCCTATGGCTCCCCACCCTCTTCTAGCCACTCACAAGCCAGACTCCCCAATACCCGCTCTGCTTACACAGACCTCAAGGCTGGGATACAGAGATCAAAACTGGTCAGGACAGGCAAGAGCCTGGAGATCAGTCCCCAGAGGGAGGGAGAGGCTCACGAGGGTCCTTGAGAGCCCAGAGGGCAAAAGAAAGCCCTGGAAAAGTTTTAAACCTTTAAACCGGGGCATGCCTGTGGTCCGGTTTGCACTTTACCATTATCACTGTGGCCATGGGAGTGGAGAATGGGTCAGAGGGGTTGGAGGGCAAAACTGGAGGTAGAGGCCAGGAGAGGCTGTTGCAGTTGCTGGTTTTGAGAGCATGCTGGCCTGGACCAAGACAGAAGCAGTGCCCACGGGCACAAGGGCAGATTTGGGGAATATGTGGGGAATATGGTGAGTGGGCTGTAGGGTAGGATGGATATGGGTGGGGAGGGAAAAGGAGCAGTCCAGGGCAGGATTGCGGCTTCAGGCCTGAACCAACAGGTGGAGGTGGGGTACCTGACCCATGAAGTAGGGACTGTTATTATCATTCATTATGACTTCTTCTTCTTATTCGGAATAGCGATGTCACTGCCTGCTCTCCACTCAGTTAGTGAGCTTCTGTGTATCAGGTCTTCTGCCCAGTGGGTCAGGGTCATGACTAGGCAAGACACAATCCCTGTCCTCGAGGAGCTCCCAGCCTAATGCAGAAGATGGATAGAGGAAA